AGGTGCATGGCCTCGCCCCTAAAGCTGTTTGGGAGGTGTTAGGCTTAGCTAGCCCAAGCCAGTATATTTAAATGATATGATCAAAAGTGACAGACTGGGCAGTGTGAAGAGTATGATGAGACTCTGGAGTCCATCCAAAAATTGGTAAAATGTATTCATAAATTCCTATTAGCATTTCAAGATTTATCACCTATTGATATTACAATTTAGATACTTATTGCACTCTCATTTTAAAAACAACATCATGGGTTTCAAAACCACAGCTTTTGTTGTGGCCACTATCTATCAAATATATACTATACAAAAAATAAGGAAGTGTGCTCCTGAGGCCAAGGTATTATCATAACAGCTAGCTTCCTAGCTGCAGTTACACTTGCTCTTGCATGCTTGCAGAAGTGACAAGCTGCTCCAGGCTCCAGCAACTCTCTCCTTGGAGGCGTGGCATTAATTATCAATAATGCAGCAAGACCATGTGAGAAGGAAGCTTCAGATTTTTTTCTCTTCTTCTAAGCACTATATGATGTTATAATGGCACAAATACTGTTGCCTAGATAGATTGAGTGACTTAAATGGAGTTTAGGATCCTCAGACTAGCAAACTATGGCTACAGCACTTTACTCAGGATGAAGTTTGAATAGCTATAACTCACCAACAAGAAAGATTTAAAGAGTCCCACACATATTAAATAAATAATTAGTCTTGATCTACTGAAAAAGAGTCTCATTTACCTCCAGAGTACTGCTGGGCATTTTCTTGTGAGTTAAAACGCTTCTACTACCTAGAGCTGCTGTCTAAACATCTCAAGGCAGTAAAGCAAGACTTTTCCTGACAAAAAAGAAGTTCTCACAGATTTAGAGTGAGCGATTGTAAAGATATACATTCTCAAAGACAAAATATAACACACAGAATGAATGAATGACAGACAGACAAACCAAGTAGCTAGTCCTCGCCTACGCAAAGCTGGGTGAGGCCAACTACGCAAAGCTGGGTGAGGCCAATCAATGCAAAATTAGAGGAATAACACTTGCATAAAATAAAAAAGAACAAATGACACTTGCAATATTCTTTTGTACTTCATAAAGTAATTTTACAAAATGTGATTGAGATGCTCAATTTTCCTGCTTTGTTAATTACCTGGAAGATAAACTTAAGTAGGAAGGCATTAAAAGGAACTAAGCCAATGTATTAATAATAAAACTTAAAATGCAGTTCAAATGGCATAAAATTAATCATATAGTGACTTTGTTCTTGATGTACCCATAGGCGGCTACAGAATCTTGA